CACGTGTGAATAATTTCATGCAAGCCAATAATGGGGCTCGAATTATAATACAAATGACGGGAACTCTTTGCAAAGTGCATTTCTGTGCTGCAAAGAAGAAATGCACACTGCAAAGAAAGCTACAAATTGGCGGGAAAATAATTCAGTGGTGCCAAAGCGCACACAAAAACAAAATCACACCTTTGGGTTGTGACAGGATTAAATTCATAGGCTAAGGAGTAGACACTTGAAAACAACTCCATTATAAGGCTAGATGAAGAACAATGATTCTGTGGAAATGTCAAAATGACCATATTTACTCAATTCTAAGATGAGGTCCCCCCATTTAATATGGCAAAAAAAGCACCTTGTCTAAGAATCTCTTACAAGGGCAGTGGTGGGAGACAGGTGGCTGCTGTGGCTTGGGCTCCAGCCCCTACATGGGGTTGGGGCCCTAACCACAACTGCTGCCTGCCTCTCCATCTTCCCCTACTGCCTCTGCATTTCACAGTCTCCCCCCTGAAGTCTCTTCTTTTCATTCCCTTCCTGCACCATGCAGCCTCTGCTTCCCTGCCTACCCCACTCCCTTCCCTCCCTTACCTTTTCTCCATGTTGGCAGGCTCTGTGCATGCTGCAGCCTGGGACACTGATCATAGCTCCAGCCCTGTCCTGTAACAGCAATGCACAACCTACAGGGCTGCTGCAGGGGCAAGGCTGGGGCCATGCTCAGTGCCCCAGGCTAGAACAGGGATGGAGCCTGCCAGCACAGAGCAGAGGCAGGGGTGGGAGGAGTGGGGGAGAGCAAAGGCTGTGGGGCAGGGGGAACCCAAGGCTGTAAGGGGTCAGGCAGGGGTCAGAGGTGGCAGCGGGGTGGGCACAAGCAAGGGGCAAGCCACATGATTTCTACACCACCTGCCCCCCACTGCCTACCCCCCTTCAATGATGGGCGGGATGAATTAAAGACAACCTTCCAATAATTAGATTATGTACATGTAAAATTATAACACATTTATAAATTTTCCATGCATATAATCTAATTATTGGGGGGCAAGTTAAATTCAGGGCTGTCTTAGATTCAAGTAAATATGGTAGGTTCTTCTGCAATATGTAAAGAAAACCAAAATTTTTGAAAATGTCCATGGAATAGCAGCTGTGCAGTCTCACGCCAGTGTTCAGAGTTTCCAGTGTTTGGTGACTGAAGAATTTGCATTCCAGAATCTTACCTAAGTTTTTTAAGAAGCCACATTATCCCATACTTCAGGGCCATAAGTTTGGCAAACTTCAATAGCTTAGGAATCTGTTTCTGTCTAAAATATTTACTACCTGTAAAGGTGGCAGTCCTGCAATGCATTACATATTACCGTCTGGGCATAGCAAATTCTACCTGAACCCATCTAACTTCTGGATGGCTTGAGAGTAGTATGGTACAGCTCAAGATCAGGACCCTGCCTTACTCCCTACTGTCTCTGGCCTGTAAATTCTGTGCTGTGCCTTTAGATATGTCTGTGCCAGAAGCAGTACAGCCATGTTTGTAGTTAGGTTGGGTCTCTTTGCATGGCACTGCCTTGTGACATGTTGACATGCCCTCGGAGGTAGAGGGTGCACTCACTCTTAGGCCAGGTAAGGAGGTTCAAAAAGCCTGAGGTGGATTCATACTAACTTTCATGGCTTTTTCTAAGCACCCTACGTTAGTCTGGGAGTGAACAGAACTCACATTCACCCTTTGGGGAAGGGGGATCATGAAGGTGGCCTGCAGTAGCCAAGGTCAGCAGCCTGGGGGCACTCATAGCAGGCTGCCAGATAATTCAGAGCCCAGCTGAGAAGCAGGCCACCTCTTGATTGGCCCATATGGCACCTCTTCCCAGTCCTGCACCCCTGCCAGGTGTCTGCTGTCAGCAACAACTGGGGGATGGAATAAAGCCTCCCTGCCACGTGGGCCACCCCAGCTATGCTGACTTGGGTTTGGGGGCTCAGGGCCAGAGCCATGCAGCTGTCCACAAGGCTGGGAACTGGGGGTTGGGGTATGGAGCCCCCTGCCCCTCACCCCCCAGCTTACTGCCTCAGGTCTGGTGGGGGGTTCCATATGGCGGGGGGGCTCCATACCCGCACCTACCCTGCCCCCCATTCCTGGCACAGCCAAAGCCATGGGGCTCTGAGCTGCAGCTTATGCCTGCAGCTGTCAGGAAGGTTGGGCGGGGTGAGGTGGGGAGCAGAGACCCTAGCTGTATGGATTGGGCCTAGCCCCCCCAGACCCAAACTAACAAGCTGGGGTGGAGGTCCATACTACTTTCCCCCACTTCCTTCCTCTCCCCTCCCACTAACAGCTGGCGGGGATGGAGCTACAGAAACAGAAAGAAGCTGTGCTGGGCCAGTCAATGGGGGACAGGGGAAGCCCCCACCATGAACTCCCCCAGTTATTCTGGCAGGGTGGTGGCGGGGGCCCCTGGCCCCTCCTCCGCCTGGCCTGGCTGACAGGTGCAGGCAGGATGCTGGCCTCGGGAACAGAAGCTTTGCTGCCTCAGTTCTATGACAGCCTGGGGGTGGGCTGGCCCGGCACTAAGCCAGAGAAGATGAGCATGGGCAGAGGCTAACCCACCTGCCCTGCGATGAGTGGGTTACCAGGGCCCACAAAGAAGTCTGGGATGCCAGAGGACAGCAATCTAAATTAAGTTGGGAGGGGATCTGGTGCAGAAATTCGATAGACGGGTCTAACCTAAACCGATTAAATCTTGGACGAAAGGATGTGAAGATGAACTTCATAGATAGGATCTTTGCTGGTGAATTGACTAGCACTGTCATGTGTGAGGAATGTGAAAATATTTCCACAATAAGAGCCTTTCATTGATCTTTCACTTCCTGTAATAGAGGAGAGGGTCTCAAAAGCTGTGCCTTTGAGAAGGACAAGTAAGGGTAGAACTGTACAGGAGGTGGATTTTGGTCTCTAGAGCTGCTCTTCTTGGACTAGCCTCCCAGCGGGGGTGGTGCAGGCAGCTACCCTGGAGATCTTCAAAAGGAGACTGGATGCACACCTTGCTGGGTTTATTTGACCCCAGCAGTCTTTCCTGCCCAGAGTGGAGGGGCTGGACCCAATGATCTTACAAGGTCCCTTCCAGCCCGAAACTTCTGTGAATTTGTGATACTACATCTATCCAGATCTACCTTAGACCAGGTTCCATCATTTTTAAACCTGTCTACATGCACTGAACTTCTGTTCTGTTACAGGTTTAGATGTGTTTCCAATCACTTATACCAGTTTATGTGTAATAACTGCACCTAGATTTGCTTGTTCCTCAGTGCTGTTTACGTTCACAGACAGATATTAAAATGTTGCTTAGTTCTGGATGAAAACATTTTATTTTCATTAATTAGATCATCTGTGTTTGTTTTTTGTCATCTTCTAATGTTGTTATAATGGGGCTCTGTAAGCAAAATGAAAAACTAGGGGAGGAAAGAACGGGTCCTTTTGTAGAACACTTGAGGATCATGAGGATTATGGTCACATGCTTCAGATCTGAAGTTTCTTTCAGACGGTAAAGTTTTAATGAATGTGGAAACTCAATAAAAAACCAACAATCTTGCTGTTTAAAAAGAAAATGTGGGCTAAAAAAACATTATTAAGAACCAAAATACCCTTTTTAAACATAAACAGTTTGTGCTAAGGTTGGCCTGCTCTATTAAATATTAAAGGTTAGTATTCCATTGCATTTTTAAAGGTGGCAAAATAAATGTGTGCACAAGATGTAGGGGAAATTCTTTTTGATAGAAATAATAGCAAGCTGTAAAGTTTTGGGGGTTTCAGGTATCATAATAATAAAGGCCTTATTTCTAAAACTACTC